GTTCGTTTAACATTATTTTGTTTCGAATTTCTTTTCGTAACATTCCAACTTGATTCGTCTTTATTCATTATTGTAAATACTTTTGTACTGGAGAATAACTGAAGTCTTGGAATTTTGATTTGGATGTAGATTTGTTACAATGAGAATTTTCATGCTTCACAGCAGAATTTTTTTTTGTTTTCAGACGATGACTGTCACGTATGGGAATTCATTGATGCTAAACGTCGATGGAAAAGTTTCGATTCGGAGTCAACCAAGAAGTTGCATCGTGCCTATAAAGAAGGCATATCTGATATTGGAATTTCTCTGGATGGAATCGAGTTTACAGTGGACTTGGATGCCAGTTTAATGAAGAGTGAAGATGGCACAAAGGAATATAAGGTGCGTGAATGTTAGTTTATCTTCGTTGGTCATTTTTTATTCGCAAACAAAAGTGATTATTATGTGATGTGTTTTGAAAGTTGGTCCAGTTTTGCTAGTAGGAAATTGAGTTCATCAATGTACATACGGTATTTGGATTAAGGGTGAAGATGAGGCTAGAAACGATTCAAACGATGAATATTTGAGATGCTGGGATATGATAGTATTGGGATTGGTTGCGCTTATAGTACTAATGATGAATTAGAGTCAGTGGTGCGAAAGATTTGTAATTCAGATCCGGCGTGATGTTTCGAAAGCGGAACCAGCGATGAGTGCCAGTCCAGCACCGTCGGCTGCAACAACACGTTCAATGATTAAACGAAAGGCCCCATCTCCATCAGATAGTGGTGCATCCGATGCGGGAACAGCTCAACAAACATCTACAACTGCTGTGAAAAAGTCTAAAACCGTGTGTTTTTTAAATTGATTCAACCTATTGATAGACTGTTTTCATTTTTTAGAATGTATTTCGAATTCTGAGATAATTTATGAGTATCAGAATTATAATTGTATAGCTACTTGACGCTTTGGTAAAATCACTCTTCATCAATTCATGATTATTTTTTATAATGTTTGCATTATAGACTGCAACAACAAAGGAGGAACCAGAATCCAAGAAAGCGTCTACTAGCAAAAAAGCAAGTGGGCCCAAGAAATCAGAGCCGAAAAGCGGTATTCCTTAAATTATTTCGTATGCAAAGAAAAATTTTTGTAGGGTTTGTTTCGTTGACTGATATTTCACGAAATGAATTCGCAGTCATTCAAATGTTATAAGCCATTGTGCAAAGATGTGATAAGCTGATCGAGATTCGTGCGCTCTCTAGCGTTGTTCAGATTTTTNATATTTTCATTTTTTCAGTTTTTTTAAGAGAACATTTTTTTAAGATGGCAAAAGTCAAATGCGTAAAATGTTGCTGAAAGGTGGAGCAGCTGTAGATCCGGAATGTATTGAAAAAGTTGGTGTGGCTCATGTTTATACAGAAGGAAAGGATATATACGATGCTATGCTCAATCAGGTGAGTGATGCTTTTATCGTTTTTTAACATATTGTGTAATTGCTGTGAATTTATTGTAAAAGTTTTTTGCTTTTGAAAATTAAATTGCTTCAATAGTTTTATAGGTATATACTGAACGCAATAATAACAAGTACTATATTATTCAACTGTTGGAAGATGATACTGAAAAACGATATTCAGTGTGGTTGAGATGGGGACGTGTTGGCTATAAGGTAGCGATATCTTTGTTTCTTGCTTCTCATATCATTTTAAAGTAAAAGTAACAATATTTTTGCATGTTTTGCGTTAGAGTGGTAAAATGACCGGCTATGGTCAATGTGCTTGTTTCCAGGGCCAAACCAATCTTGTTGGATGCGGAAACGATTTGGAGAAAGCGAAAAAATTATTCTGTCAGAAATTCAGTGACAAAACGCATAACGATTGGAGTGAGAGGAAGAAATTCAAGAAAGTCAGTGGAAAGTACGATTATCTTCCGGTACGTTCGGCTGTTCATTTTTGATGTATCTGGTTTAAAAATTCCACAGAAGCACGGTTTCAGTTCATTATCCATTTAACATTTCGTCGTTTGACGACGTTGTCACTAAATTATAGCAAACAATGATTTTGAGTTCCTATCGGTGTTGCGTACGTAATGTTATATTATTGTTGTTAATGAAGTGGTAACTGATTTTGCATACGGAATGCTTTGCAGTGTACAAATATGATATTGGTGGATGTGTTGAACGTTAGCAGAGCAGTTTACTGAGTTGATCTTGTACTCTTACAGGCTGACTACTCGAAATTACTCGAAGAGAAAAAGAAAGAAGCAGAATCAGGCGATGGCGATTCTGTAGACAAGCCGGCAATACCAGAATCGAAACTCGACGAATGCGTTCAGAAGTTGCTGAAACTGATTTGCAACATTCGAGCCATGGAAGAAACGGTTATGGAGTTGGAATATGATGCAACTAAGGCACCACTTGGTGAGTCAGGATGAATTCATTGGATTTGTCAAGAATATTTGCTTTGGTAATGCTGTCCGTCCATAGATTCGCTTTTGCTATTGTGCTTCCGAGATTTTGTTTTGTTTAAGGTAAAGTTACTGAGCAACAAATCAAGGCCGGTTATGCGGCTCTGAAACGAATTGAAAAGTTCATAACGAAAGGCACCTTCTCGTCNAATTTGTTTCCAATTTAATAATCATGATGTAGTAGGAACGCTTTGCGAAATTTAAACAATGCGCAGAGTGAACGAAATATAGATGCAAAATTAAATAGGCTTATGGGGAATGACTGTCATTATTCGATCAGTACGATAAGTGATATTCGGAAATCACTGCTGCGAGGAGGATTAAAATTTTTCGAAGGTAGAGGAGAGTTCAGTGATATTTCCTTATCCAAAGCATCATCTGGTAGAGGTGGTGGTAGACATTGACGAGGATAGCGATTGAAAATATTGCAACAAACTTTTAGTATGAAACAACCGCCGTTGATCAAAACAAGCGAGCAACTTAAAGCAGAAATCTCGCTGCTGGAGGCGTTATCGGAAATTGAGGTGGCAATCAAGCAGTTGAATAAAGGCGATAGTCAAGTGGCAGTTAATCCGTTGGATAGCCATTATGCGAACATGAAACGTGATATTGAAGTTATTCAAGCCGATGATAACAGATATAAGGTTTGTTTGTGTTTTCTGAATTTATTTGCTATTTCTTATGAACATGTTTAGTGGTTGACCTATGAGGACTGATCGGAACAGTCAAAAATGCAGAAGATAATTTTATTATTATCCGATGACGCTTTGTTTCAGATGGTTAATGATTACTTGATGAATACACATGCGTCAACACATTCACAATATAAGATGAAATTGAGGCATTTGTTTGCGTTGAGTAGAGCTGGCGAGTCGGAGCAGTTCATGTCGAATCTTGGTAACAGGTGAATGGTTGGAATCGATCAGTTTATGAAAATTTTGATGTGCAGTTTCTTCAATATGATCCGCTTCAATGATGCATGGTTGAAACAAAAAAAAATGGCACAATGAAATTTTCGTGCCAGTAGTTGCATGATTTGAGCTGATTGTGAGCAATTGATTGGTTTTACAGAATGCTTCTATGGCATGGCTCTCGTTTGACGAATTGGTATGGCATTCTGTCGCAAGGACTACGAATTGCACCACCAGAAGCACCATCGGTTAGCGGCAATAATTTACCGTTGTTTGTTGTTTATTGAACGTCATTGAGATTTGTGTTATGGGTTGCGTGAATTGCACCGAAATCCTTGTTGAACCACGTCGAGTGGGTGAGCGAAGTGATGGATCGTGGAAAATTAAAGCGATTTGTAATTCTTGTCCAAGCTTGTTCTCACATCGTTTTGTTCAAACTGCTTCGCTGATTTTGAGGTCTAGTTATATAAGTGAGATCTTAATCAAAGTTTATGGATGGTTGGATTTTGCTCATTGCAGACGGGATATATGTTCGGAAAAGGCGTCTATTTCGCAGATATGTCGAGCAAGTCGGCCAACTACTGCTTCCCACAAAAATCGAAGCCTGGCCTATTAGTGCTGGCCGAGGTTGCGTTGGGTAATGTAAATGAACTATGGGCAGCCGACTATAACGCAGACAAACTGCCTCCCGGGAAGCACAGCGTAAAGGGTATGGGATCGGTGGGACCAGATCCGAGTGGAGCGATTACGCTGTAAGTTATTGTTGCACTATAACGCAGACAAACTGCCTCCCGGGAAGCACAGCGTAAAGGGTATGGGATCGGTGGGACCAGATCCGAGTGGAGCGATTACGCTGTAAGTTATTGTTGCGTTAGAAATTGAATTTGGTGTTTTTAATTTGACTAAACTCGTGATTTTGTAATCGTATTTGTAATTTGTAATCGGAATGCGGTAAAAATGAAACAGACTTGAGATTATTCGAGGTGAAAGTTGAGATGATTTTTGTAGATTTGAGATAATTTCTTAATTTTTACGAGGCTGACGCACGTAATAATTGCTTAAATGTATCGTGTTGAATGTGCAATAGATTTTAATCGCGAGATTTTTAAACAGTGAGTGAATGTTTCAGCGATTGTTGACCGGTAGTGGATAACTTGTAGCAGTCAACTGAACATAATTATTGTGAATGTGATAATTGTTGATCGTATTCAATTAAATATCCGTTCGAAAACTGAATGTCATTTTGGAATAGCTGATGTTTTTGATGGATTCGTTCACGATTGTCATTTTCAGAGAGAACGGTTGTGTTGTACCAGCTGGAAAACCAGTCGAGTTGAATAAAAGGAGCGGTTGTTCACTGAATTATAATGAATACATCGTCTATAACACAAATCAGATACTGATCAGATATCTTGTCGAGGTGGATTTCGTGTTCAATTTCTGATTGCTTGCATCGATTCATCGTCTGCACTTGTTTTGGATCTGTTGATGTTCAAAATGTAATATTAGTGATCAGTTTTATCATTGTTACTGTTTCATTGAATTTGGTGGATTTTATTACTGTTGTTGTTCTTGTAATTACTCTTATTAGTGTAATTATTACGTTGTTTCTGTTTTTAATACTGAAGCTATTACTATGGTTGTTATTGTTCTGTTCGTGTTACCTGAATGCTGGAATTTTTAAAATACTGGTTCAGTTTCATCTTCTATACTGATTAAATAACAGAAATTAAGGTGTTCGGAATTACAATATAGTTATTCGCATGTGACATTCACGTATGATCTGATCCTGCGATACTCTCTTATGTCCATCTAACGATGTTCCATGAATTATTACATCTATCGGTCTCAGTTTTTCCTTCTTCAGTCCTTCATCTTGTGAATTACTTCGTTATGAAACCAATGATAGGTTGATGAAATATCAGAATCGCAAGCAGAAATATGTTGGCAATCTCTGGACAGTTTTGGATCTGTGCATTGCTTGTGAGAATTTATTGTTGACAGGGATTAATCTTTTATCGGCATTTATCATATTGTTGTTCTCGAATCGTTTTGCACTGTATTNTGATATGCAGCAGTTTTCATTTGTTATCTTATAATAAATTGTTGATCCGTTTGTGTTTGTTAATCGCATAAAAACAATTGGCCAGAGACACCGACTAACCTGAAAATCCTCATCCAATCAGTTCAACAACTATTACAGAACAGATCGAATTTTGACACTGTAATTGCAATTGTCTCTAAAAAAGCTGAAATCGCAGTGTGAAGTTATGGACAGGGAGACTCAAAATTGAGAGTATCAAAAGTAAGCTGGTAGGAGGTGACTGGATAGACAGCGCTCATTTCAATGCACTGGATCTCTGTTGATCAATTTGTACATTAGCTTAGCAGCATCAGATATCCCACCATCTTAAAATTTTGTAATATCTCACCATCTTCAAACTGTGTGTTATCAGGTTTGCCCTGTAGCACGGTAATTTCTTCAGATCGTCGGATTCCAGAAATTCTCTAGTATACAAAAAGAGCATATGTTGTAGAGCGATTTTGCCTACTTTCTGAGAAATAGCTGATTTTCTGGACGTATCTCAACTGCTCGGCAACGCTCATCTCAACACACTGTAGAACGCACATTGGATTAGCAGTATCAGGGTCATCATGTTCAAACCATCGGTGTTCTCAAGTTTGACTAGTAACATGGTTAATTCTTCACACCCTTGGATTTCGCAAATTCTCTACTGTCCGAAAACTATATATCTTGCGAGGCGATTTTGCTTACTCGAAGAGAAATAGCTATTTTCTTTGAACTATATAAAATGGCGCACTCGCGATCATTCAGGTACAACAACCACTACAGATCAACAGATATTATACATTGCTATAGAAATATAGGTTTGATAAATTCAAGCCTACCGTCTTCTCAAGT